TCGCAGTATTCGCCCTTTTTTCATTTAGCTGCTTGCTGATTTAAATTTCATGGTCTCCTCAATTTTGCCAAGTTGTTATATTAAATTAAATGAAATTCCCTTTGCATTTTCTTCGCACTCATTTTGCTTAGCCCTCATGCACAATGCACAAATAGACAAATTATTCCGTTATTTAACTGGCAACCTTTGCGTTTTATCAATTTGTAAACTTCCCCAAAAATATGACATGGCCTTTAAGTGAAAGCGGATCTTTGTATATTTTATAATATGAATTGCACTTTTTTTGTTGCATTGCAATTTTTATTTTCTTGGAAAATTGACAAATGTAATTAAATTTTTACAAACAAGCTAAAACAAATTGAACAGTTTATTATATTGAATATATTATTCAGTAAAATACTTATGAGCATTATTTATAAATTAAAATAACTTAAATACAAATTAAAGCCAATTGAACATTTTATTATTTTTTTTTTTTTTATCAAATCAAATATATTATAAAATAAAATGCTTCAGAATTGGAGTTCTAGCTGCAAAGGAAAATTTAATTATATAATCAGCTAAAATAAATTTATGTTTCAAAGAGAATTATATTTATATTTATATCAAATAAATTGAAGAAATCATTTTTTTAAATTGTGTATCCCCAAAACGAGTAGCAAACAATTTTTTATAGTAATTGCAAATATTTTCATATTAAATCTTATTTTTTAATAAATTAAACTATTTGAGTCTCAAAATAAAAGCCGCTATTTATTTGAAGAGATTAAAATGGAATAGATTAAATTAATATTTTTGACATTAAATGTGATAAACATATGTCTGCTGTGGCTACTATTTTTTCCACTCAAATTTATTTGGCCAACTAAAGTCGAAAACGTGTTAGCTTAAAAATAATCTTCAGACGACTTTAACCTTTAATTTGGCTCATTTATCTTAGCAGCTTTGCTGCTCTATCCTTGAACTTGGCCATAAATAACATGAAAATAGTAATTCAGTTGATTTTCTTTCGTCAAGTCTATTTTGGGAAATACACCTCACACACACACACACACACACACTCGCACACTAAAAAAAATATAGCAATTTATTACTTTTAATTCAATTTTCAAGTGAATTCGAAATGTTTTGTTTTGTTTTTTGGCACACAAATTTGCATTGGCGAGTCTTAAATTTAAACACCTTGGCAGGCGATGCAGCAACAGCAGCAACAATCAACAACCGCAACAATTGGCAACAAGGCAGCAGCCGCAAAATCAAAAAAAAAAAATAAAAATAAAATAAAAATAAATAAAAAAATCACCAACCGCAAATCAATCAACGTCTCATAAATTTGTCAACTCGGCGACAGTTAGACGAAAGCTGCCAGAGAGAGAGAGGCAAACAGAGAGAAAGAGAGAGAGAGAGAGAGGGGGGGGGGGGGGGGAGTCTCATAGACAGTAGTAGCATAAGGACAAATTATGATCAGCTGTTTTGAATGGAAACCAGATTAAGTGCAACATCAACATGAACATTATTATTGTCATTGTCATCGCGTAACTGTGGCAACAACATCCTTGCCACGGCCAGCCAAAACAGCAGCAACAACACACAACAAAAACAAAAAAACAAAGCAATTTTTCATTTTTTGCTTAAAAACGGCGGCAACATTAAAACGAGCGCCGGCGTCGACGCCTGCGTTGCCGTTGGCTGCCCCCAAAAATGAAAATGGCGACCGGGCGCCGGTTAGCAAAAGAAAAGCCCAAAATAAAAAATATTGAAAACAAAAAATACACGAACAAAAAAAATAAAGGACGCACCGGCCAAAAATGTTGCGTTGTTGAAAAATTGCCTGGGAATATGTGTTAACTGCTTTTTAAACTGCCACGAGGACGACGACACGACGACGACGACAGCGTCGCCAGTAGCAGCAGCAGCAACAACAACAACAGCAACAACAATAATAACAATAACAAACAGCAGCGAAAGGATATATGCATTTTGGTCAGTTGAATTTATCGGCGCGCGATTTATTATTGCACGCAAAGTTCACGTAGCGAACAGCTGTTGTTGTTGCTGTTGTTGTTGCTGGCAGGATCATTGGCTAAGTGGCTGGATCGCCATTACGCCTGGCGACAACAGCAATAACAACAACAGCAACAACAACAACGGCAACAACAACAACAACAACAGAGACGACGACGTTGACGTCGCTGCAGCTTTTGAAGGCGTTGCCTATTTGACTGCCTCTGTATGCGTGTATGCATGTGTGCGTGTGTGTTGAGTTTTGCACAGAAAAAAAGTTGAGCGAAAGTTGAGTTCGCTGTGTGAAGTGACAGACAAGCGAACGGGCGAGCAAGCAAAAGGCGAAGGCGAGGCGAAACGTAGGCGAAGGCGCGGCGAAGGCGAATATGTCTGAGGCATAGAGAGCAAAGACTAGAAAACACCTGAAAGCACTCACTGACACACACATGTGAAATACACTCAAGCAGCAGCAGCAGCGACCCCAACCCCCCCTATTGGCAGACAGAAAAACCACCCAATGCCCAATGCCTGCGCGCACAGGTGGGGCAGCCAAAGAAGACTGAATGGCAAACTGATGCAAACTGCCACTCACTCAAGCGAAAATAACAAATGGGATTGGTTTTTGCTGATTTTCAACGCACGCACAGCCAACGACGCTGGCAGCGACAGAGAGCAGCCAGCAGCGAGCAGCACTCGCAGCAGCGAGCAGCAGCAGCAGCAGCGGCCAAAAACCTATAAGCCGTCTCCTTTTGGCCAAAGCCAAATAAATTTCAAACGAACGAAACGAGCGTTCAGCGAGCGCCAAACGACGTCGTCGTCGTCGTCGTTGCGCAAAAAAGAGTCGACAAAACAAATAGCACAAAAACAAAAACACACACACAAGCGCAAAAAAAAAGAATAAACGGCAAAAAAAAACAACAACAACCGAAGCAAAGCAAAACTCGGAGCGAACAGCAGAGTCTAGTAGAGAAGAGTGGAGGGGAGCAGAGTAGAGTAGAGTAGCGCAGGCGAAGGCAGATTGTGACAAGTGTGTGTATGACAGAAAAGGCGTACTAACAAATCAGTCATCATCCTTTGCGCTCTGACTGCTTGGGCCCCATTTTGTAGTGTGCTCCGCTCAAAAGAGCGCGCCTGCGCTCTCGCCGCGCAATTCGCCGCATGCCAGCAGCAGGCAAGCAGGCAGGCAGACACACTCATACATACACTCACACACACATCCACACAAGCACACACATACGCACGCATCACAATTCGCCGGAGTCGAATTGTGTTTGTATAGCCATCGCACTCGCACTGCTGGCAAATTTATGAGCCACCGCTTTGTACAACCTTTTTTAATGGCACAATTGTTGCGTCGCCGTCGTCTTTATGCGTGTGTATGTGTGTGTGTGAGTGTACGATCGGGCAGACAGCGGCGTGCAAGCGTGCATGAGCATGATTGACAGTGTGTATTTGCCTTCGAACCGCGTACGACGTGCTTGTGCTTGTGCTGTCTGTGTTGTGTGTTGTGCGAAGCGAGAAGCGAAGCCGAAAACGCCGAAGCCGTCGCCAATCGCCGCAGCCGTTGAGAAAAATTATAATTATTATTACAATTACCATAACCATTACTATTATTATTGCTATTGCATAGCAGTCTATTATTGTTATTGCCGCACAACAATAATAATCACAACAACAACAACAACAAATTAAGGACGTCGATTTAATATCAAGTCATCTCGTCTCGTCGCGATCTCCTGGGCCAGCCCATAAGCAAAGGCAAAACAACAAAAATAAATATTAAGAAATTTCAAAAATAATATTTTAAAAAGCGCGCGCGTTCCGTTGCGCGACGTTACGATCGCTCGTTACGTTACGTTACGCGTTACGGATCAACGTTAACGGACTTTCGCCGTCGACTTTCGTTGCCGTTGCCGTCGCCGTTGCCACTTCCGCCGCCGCCGCCGCCGCCGTTGCCGCCTCCGTCGTGTAACCGTCGCTTAAACAATAAAATTCCGCAAATAGCAACAATTTCTAAGCTTGCACGTTTCGTCAATAAGAGACTCAAAACTTAACGAAAGAGTGCAGTAAATGCAACTGTAAACTGTATACAATCAGTTAGTTGGTCGATGCTTAAAAAAAAATTGACAAGTTTTTGGTTTTTTGTAGTATATTATAGTATGTAGAAGCAGCTGTGATAAATAGTGCGCATATTATACGAAAGAAGCAAGAAGTATACGAAAAAACATACAACAAAACATACAAAACAAAACAAACAACACAAAAAGCAAAACAACAACATCAAAATACAAAATTTGACGAGATCGAAACAAGAAGAAGAAGAAGTCCAAGCGAAGAGGAAGAAGAAGCAGCCGCTGCTAAAAAGGCCCCAGCAATGGATTTATGACAACAACAACAAAGCGCGCAAGCAGAGCTGCAAACTATGTTGCTAATACAACAACAACAGCAGCAACATCAACAACAACAACAGCATCACCAGCAACATCAACAACAGCAACAACAATTAAGCAGAACAACGGCAACTGTAATGAAAACAAATTGTATACGATTTTTATAAACCGCAAAAGAGCAAAAACAAAAACAAATATAAATAACTACAACAAATTATATGTAAATATTATATAAACATTTATATATATATATATATATAAATATATATATATGTATTTGTATACACGAAACATAAAACAACAACAACAAAAAGATCTCCCGCTATTAACAACAACAATAAGAAAATCGCGCGCGTAACTACAACAACAACAAATGTATACCAGTAACAACAACAACAAATAAATAAATCTAAGCAAAGAATGAAAGCAAGAAAAATCTAAAGCAAAGATTTTAACAAATGTGCCTGTGTTAAAAGAAGAAGAGTAAAAAGTAGTAGAAGAAGAGAAGCAAGAACTACAAAAAAGAGATAGAAAAATATAAAAAATTGAAATTACACAAATTCTAATAATATTTTTGTGAGTGTGTCAAAAGAAACAAAAAAGAAATCAACAAAAAAAAAATATATATATATATATATATATTGAAGAAGCAAACTAAAGCGTAGCAGGAGGCCCCAGATCCACAGATCTACACGCGAAGATCTCTCCACGACGACAGCAGGGAGGACGACGACGACGAGGAGGAGGACGAGGACGCAAGGGACGCGGGCCCCTCGTTGTGTTGTGTTGCGTCGCCAACTGTCGTCTGTACACCACTAAAAGTGGCACAAATCGGGTTAGACGTCGCTCCCAGAGCATTAATGGCTCAGCCTAGGGTAAGTGTTAAACCTATATACCCCACCAAATACAAATTATATATCCAAAGTATATATTTACTCAGATCAGCGTCAAAAATTCTAAGCACAATTTATTTTACACTACTCCTCGATCTTTGTGTTTTGGCGACGGCATTTTGGGGGCGACGGCATTTCACATTGGCGAAAAATGCTTTCATATTTTTGGTTAAATTGTTAACATTTGTTGTTGGTGAAAATAGTTGAATTTAGAATGCTTCAATAATAATTTGTATATATTTTTTCATTTAAGTTTTTTTCTTTAAGCAGACAAATAGTTAATAAATTATATGAAGCACTTGAAACGGTTTCGTATTTTATTGTTTTTTATTTTGCTTTCACAATTTTGACAGTTGAACATTAGTTTGAACTTATTCTAATATTGAATTGAACATAACAAATTGCATTTGGTGTGGATTTGCTAATTGCAGCGAATATGTTTTTGCATTTCGATGATAAATTGATGGATTGTAGATTGTTTTTGATAAGCGACGGCATTTTTAGACTGGTTCATGTTTATATTTATATATATGTCTATATCTATATAGATATGTTAAGAAATATTCATTTTGAACTATCTCTCAGATTCATGTCTTTTTGGCGTGACTTGATTTTTATAGAGTTTATATCTAAAACTATAAAAACAATTAGAGTAGCAAGAATTTTATCAACTTGATAATCTTTATGCTCATGTTATATGACTGAAAATACATATGTACGTATTTTTATGTACTCATAAAAGTAATATATTTTATATCGTTTGAAGCGTGACTCTGCTCTATATAAATATTGTACTGTAGTTTCTATATTCATTTCGAAAAGAAATAGAAAATATATTTAAATGCTTTTAAACAATGTTTCCACATTAGATTCAAGTTTAGATATCGAAAAGAAAATGCATTTAAAATATTTGCACTGTTTTTTGTTTTTAAAAATGTTTTAATGGCTAATGTGTATTCGAAATTAGTTAACACCTCATTTTTGCCAACTCTTTAAATACGCAAAAATTTTCTATCCAACTAAACATTTAAGCTACTTAATCTAGCTTTATACCCCAATTTTATTAGTTTGCCAAACACAAACTGTTTGAGACATTCGTCAATGGTTATATATAAAATATTATTTTTTTTATTTATTTCATTTTTTATTAATGACTCTCTATGGCCATCAATAAAATTTTAATCAGCTGACTGACCAACATGCTTAGCTCTCTTTTCTCGTCTCGCGTTTCTCGTTTCTCGTTTCTTGAGTGATTTTTCTTTCATTTTTTCTGGCATTATTTACCAAGTTAAACTTTATGAACTGATTAACATACAAGTGTGAAACGAACTTGATATTTCTATGGATCGTTAAATCGATATCAATTCACAATACGACTAAAGTGTGTCTGAGTGTGTCGGTGTGTGTGCGTGTGTGTGTATAGTGTGTGTGTGTAATTAGCATTTGCTTTAAGTAGCTCTGTAGATAGGCCTGTGTTTTTCTTTCGGCAACTCTATTTCACTCTCTTCCTCTCTGGGGAGAGACCAGTTAAAAAAGAAAGAAAAAACTAGCTCAAGTTGCCCGCGGGAATTTTCGTGGTGATTTTCATATTTTACTGTGCTACACATAAATTGACGCATGTGGCATTTAATACACGAAGTTCCCGCTTCAAGTGGAGTCTCCGATTCTGAATCCGATTCCATAAAATGTGCAAAATCCGGATCCAGGTTGTGTGTGTGTGTGTATGTGTTTTTGATGCGATGCATATAATTTTATTGCACATTGCTGGAGAGGACTGCTGGATGAGGAGGCGGAGAATGAGGAGGAGGGAGTGCGGTCGGGCGGGCGCACATTCATTGAGGGCAACACGCTGTGGTTTTATTATTTACAATTACAATTTCATTTCGTTGCGTTTCGTGTTTTATTTTTACTATAATTTGCACTTTTGTGCGTAAAAAAAGAAAGAAAAAGCAAAAATGCCCGCAAGCAATTTTTATATATTTAATTTGATTATTTTATGCCGCACAGTTAATGAAAAACCAAAAGAAAAATGAAACACAAAAAGCGAGCAAACGGCAATGGCAACGGCAACGGCAAACTGCAATTTGTGCAGCTGCCACACAACACACACCCCGCTCGCACACGCTCGACAACATTCAACATTCAACACAAAAATTGTTTTGGTGTTATTTTAATTTAAAGGTTAACCGCAGCGTAATTTGTGGCATCAAATATAATTCGTCTAGTGTAGCTAGCTGCTGCTGCTGCTGCTGCTGCTGCTGCTGCTACTGCTGCTGCTGGCGCAAGTAGAAAAATAAAATCGCAAAAATAAATGCGAATAAAAATCAAATAAAATGCAGCAGCAGCAGGGGCAGCAAAATGTTGCAGTTGCAGCTCTCACTGCTCAGTTCGCCATTTATTGTGTTTGCCTCTGCGCCTCTAAAAATGTGCGGCCGTTTTTCGATTTGGCTTTAAATCGTTGCGCTTTTGTGGCTTGCTACACTGCAATTTATATCTGTGTATGTGTGTGTGTGTGTGTATGTGTATATATCCTACTTGTGAATCGCGCTAATGGCGTTTGTTGCTTATGTTGCCCTGTCACACGAGCTCTCATCTGCTTGCCGCCTGCTGCCAAAATTACAAAAAATGTTCTATAAATTGTCTACTTTTCGTGTATGAAAACTATTAGGTGTTTAAAATTGACTAATTGAACAATGTTAATTTATTTAAGGAAATGTGCTTTAGCAATTTAGAAATATATATGAGTATATATTAAACATCTTTTAGTTTAATTCCTAGATGAGTACCAGGTAATCATAGGGAACTTTTAGTTGGATTCAATAAAAATATTTATTTTAAAAGAATTTTAATTCCTTACTTTTGAAAAATGCTGATTAAATATTTTCAGATGAGATAATCTTTCATAGAGCTAGCTGGAACTCAAAATACCAGAAAATCTGTTAGATTGATTGTGATTTATTACAATTATTTAATTAAATAACATTTTAGTGGGTTATTTCCAAAAAATGTGGATTTTATAGTCACAGATGAGGTAAATCCCTCGTTTAACTAGCTGAAACTAAAAGTACAAGATAAAAAACTGTATTTATTTGAGCTAAATAATAGTTTGTGCAGTAGTTGAATATTTCAGTGAATTAGTTGGCAATATATTAAAGTCGTTAAGCTTTAAATTCAAAGAAAAAATAAAAAGAAAACAAAAAATGCGATAAGAAAAATTAAAGCCATTTGGCAAAAGAAAAGCAAAGCTTTTATTAGATTAAAACTAAATTAATTTTTGCTTTTATTTTCTGTTCTGTAGCTTTAGTTAATCTAGTACTGGCATCTACAGTTACTTTTCACAATCTCATGTCTGACAATGGTTCTTAAATATTAGCTGCGAGCTCTCCCAACTTTCAGCTCGAATGATTCACAGTTGAGCGCTAAGAAGTGAACCAAATAAAACACAGTCTCCACTGAGTCATGAGTCATATTCGAGTTGAAATTCACACAATATCACATCAAGCCATATTCTCATAATATACTTGTTACCCAGGACAAAAATGTATAAACAAATTATGCAATTATGTATATGCATATTATGCGCGGCTGCATAAGAATTATGCAGTCTCCAAAGGGAAGCTATGGTATTGGATACCAGCCACACTCAACTCCTCACTTAACTCTCTCTCTTTCTGAGTCTGAGGCTGAGTTTTGACTCCTTGGTTGGTTATATTTTTTTTCGTGTGCTAAAGAGCTTCATGTTTAATGATCAAATTGCGTGCCTCGTTTGGTGCCTGGTGCGTTGTTGCTGTTGTTGTTGTTGTCAAGTTGCCAAGTTGCCGAGTTGCCGTTTGGCTGTTTGTGGAAGTGTTTTCATTAGTTTCATTTCTTTTTACATTTGCGCGCTCAAATCGTCTTTAAATTTTTTGTTTAGTTGAAAAATATTTCGCACAATGTAATTTCCCCTCAACATTAGCGCTAAGCGAGCGTTAATTTTTTCATTTTTGGGGCAAGTTAAGTGAATTCGATTACAGCCTTTTTGACTTACAGCAAGAAAGAGTTTAGCCAAAGAAATGTCTATCAACTAACTGATACAAGTTGTTGCTTTTGCTATTGTGGGCCCAACAAACAACGAAAAAGACGTGGAAAATCATTTAGACAAGTTGCACGCCGCTCATTAAATTAAATGAGCCATCAGCACGCAATTTATTTTAGTATTTTTGAGTAACTTTTGCCATGCCAGACGCAGACGCAAACGCAGACGACGCATCCACAGCGCGACTCCAACGTTTTTACTTGCCACAGCTCGACTCCGCATTTTTGTTGTTATATTTGTTGGTGTTGATGTTGTTGTTGTTATTGTTGTTGTTGTTGTTGAGGGCAGCCAATTTAATTAAATAGACGCCGCGTGCGCTGTTCAAAATGTTGATAGAAAATGTGAGATAATATTAAAAGTTGTTTCTTAAATATATACATGTATATATATATTTAGAAATTAATACAATATATATGCATATAGATACAGATTCCACAGACATCCAGTAGAGTGCCTTGAAAACGTGTCTGTGGCGGCAAACGATTAAATGATATACAAAATATTAAAGCATTGTATCTATGTCTCTATGTATATAGTTCATATGTATTTATTCATAAATTTGCTTCAAGCCAACTGACAAACAAACAAACAACAACAACAATTTAATTTGTATAAAATTTGGGTAGTATGTAAAGTGGTTAAAAAGAAGCAAGCATCTGCGACTCCATTAGAAAACATATATAGGATGAGCCAGCAGATTCGTTTGCTAGGGATTTCTAATCCAGTATCGATAATATCAGCAATAAAATCCGCTATTCTATATAGTGTATATAGTCTTCCAATTGAGTTTAATGCCTTAGCAACTTTCATAGTTTCATTGATTGGTTGGGAAACACCAAAATATTTTTTCATATTAAACAAAAAACTTTTCTTATCAGCAGGCGCAATCGTACAATATATACCTAATCCAAGCAGTGTCCCTATATATGTATATATATATATATCTGTTTGTATGTACATATGTATGTTTATATATGCAAAAATATTGTAAGCACGCGTTTGTCGCAAGCCGGTGATTTAGATTGCGGTTTTTTGGGAATTAAAAACATGCTTTGCACACGATTTATTTTTGGGCACCCTTAAGAGCCCCTTAGTTAGCCATAAAAAATGGATAACCCACTTGTATAATTATAGTTTAAACATTTGAGTGTGCCAAATTAGAACCTGTGTCTTAAGCGTTTCAATATATATTTAAGGGTATTCCCTAGTCGAGCTTTCTTACTTGTTCTTTTTTTTAGCATTAATAAAATTCGCAAAAAAAAAAAACGAAACAGTTTGCTGAATAAATTATTAATATAAAGCAAACTATCAGCAAATCGATCTTTCACTTTTGCACAACTCAGAAAACATTTATTAAATATTACAGAACTAGTTTTAAAATAAAATTTCAATTATGATTAGTTAAGTTTTCTGACAGGTAGAAAATGTGTCCAATTTTTGTTGTTGTTGTTTATTGTGTTTATTATTTCTGATTTGCGGGGCTGCTTTTAATTTAATAAATGCGCGCACTGACGTCATATTTTCATTTTTATTTTATTTTATTTATTTTTATTTTTTGCTTTTTCATAAATGCTAAAAAGTCGAGAATTTTTGCCTGTTACTGTCGCGATGTTTTTTGTGTAGTCGATGCTTTAAATTTAGCAACGATTGTGTTATATGTATATATATATATATATATCATACATATATAAAATATATATTTTTTGTGCTTGCTGCTTTGTTTTTGAACATCAATTCAAACTTCAGAAATATACAAGCGAGTGGCGAAGCATTTAAATAAAAATATTGTATATATTAGACGCAAATATATATCTTATTATTTGGTTTGGTTTTTGTCTCTTGTTTGCTGTGCCGAATATTATTATTATTGGTCGTATTAATAGTACCAATAAAAGCGAGCGTGTTCGCATCGACTGCAACTGTAAATTAAAACAACGCCAGAGCACGCAACAAAAATTAATTGTCTAACACCAAATAAACTATACAACAAAAAAAAATAAATAATAATAATAAAACTGGGCGTGTGCCCAGCTTAATGAAATGCTCCGTACGGGCGACGGGACTACGGCTTACTCCAAACGCACACACACACACATACACACACACAGCTGGGCACACCTACAATTCCAATACCAATTCCAATTCCAATTCCGAACCCACTTTCAATACCAAAGACATGGCTCAGGGTCGCCTGTGGCTCCGTTCTGCGGTTCGTCTGCTAATTAAGCAAGCAAAATTAAATATAAAACAAAAAGCAAAAAACAAAAAACAAAACAGAAAAATGTAGAAAACGAAACAAATTCAAATATAACATGATAAACAATTAATTTTGATTAGGCGGCAATTAAGAAATGTGAAAGAATGAAAAGCAAAAGTGTTGCCCGAATAAGAAATCAATAATGCCAGGCCAGCATTTTTCCTATATGCACAACTCGACATTTATGTATATGTGGAGCATAGTCACACACACAAACACACACACACACACACACACATACACAGATACGTGTCGAGAGTTTTAGGGCTTGCTAAAATGGCGGCCATTGTCGCCATACACACACTCGACACAGACAGGCAGACAGACAGACAGTCGCACCTATAATTCTTGCAGTCTGGCGCTGGTCAGTTTTAGGCGCCGTTAGATAAAATGCCCCCCCGCAATCTAAACAACAACAACTGCCGCCTAAGCTGACCACCTAAACGCGTCTCTCTCTCCCTGTTTCTCCCTCTCTCTCTCTCTCTGTCTCTGTCTCTCCCTGTCTCTTTCTATTTTTGCATATGTGTCGCTGCATTTGGCTACAGTTTTCCAGTTTCAAGTTCAGGCCAAAAATGTTTACTAAAAATGTTTTTTCGTTCAGTTTTGGCCGCCCACTTTTTTGGTTGCAACCCAAACGTTGACATATGCAGGCATGCATGCATGTGTGTGTGTGTGTGTGTGTGTGTGTGTGTTTGTTTGTGTGTGTAACAGCTATTACAACATAACAACAACAACAACATGTTGTAGCTGGAGCTGGCTTAAAGTGCTGCCACAAATTTTTGTAGCATTTAAAGTCAATGTTTGAGTCGAGTAAGTTGTCGTTGTTGTTATTGCTGTTGTTTTTGTTGTTGTTGTTATTATTGTGGGCTCGATGACTTAATGTCTCCCAATCACGACAAAAACACACACACACACACACACACACACACACCTATATAATACATATACTAACCAAAACAAGGACAAGAGCACCCACTCGGCAAATGTGGATTGAAAACTCTCTCGGAGCTGTAGCTGCTTGTCCTGTTGTTGTTGTTGTTGGCCATGTGACTGCTGCGCCTGTCACTGACAGCTAGCAAGCCTGCCCCTTATCCATGCCCCCTTTAGCCCACTCAGCGGGCCGGCATTGTCATTGCGAGCTTGCCCGCAAATACATAAATTTTTGAAGGATTTTGGCGCTGAACTTGTCAAAATCAGACGAATACGACGACAACAACAGAGTTGTGTTTACTGTTATATGCTCCACGTCTATCTCTGTGGGTTATATTGATTCACCGCAGAGAGTGGAGAGAACCGTGCAGTGGAGGAGTTGTGTGTATTGCTGGATTGGCAGAGCTTGCTTCAACAAGGTCATTGGCTTTGGGTTTCGAGCCCGCAGATGATCATCAATCAAATCGAGGGAAAGCCTTAAGACTGCCAGTGTGTGTGTGTGTATGTGTGTGTGTGTGTGTGTGCCAGGTCTTAAGTGTGTTTGCCTGTTCGATTTTTGGCGCGTTCAGTTACAAAAATCAAAAAACAAAAGTAACAAAAGTCCGGGGGGACTGAAACCAGGGGGCGGGTGGAGAGGAGAGGGGCCTGCTGCTGCTCAATTCCCACATTACTTATGTACAAGTACAAATTGTGGTAATTTTCAGAGATCTCTTTGTTGCTGATTTTGTTTGTTGTTTGGCTTTGGCTCTGTGCTTTTGTTGTGTGTGTTTTTTTTGTTGTTTTTTTTTTTTTGGTGCTCCACAATTTCCTCATTTCTAAAAGCAACCGTTGCCTGCGCCGACTTCGCGATATTCATTCGGTTGGCAGTGCCACCAACACTAAAATTAGCATAACAACTTTATAGTTTAACTGCTCGACTGCTCGAGTGCCAGGTCGGGTCTGTTCTGCTCTGCTCTGGTCTTGGTCTTGGTCTGGTCTGGTCTGGTCTGGTCTCGCCTGCTCCGTCTCTTTGGCCTGGCCACTGATCCGGTCTGGCTGTATCTATAAGTTTGTATCTGGCATGCATATGTACGCTGCATACAGACGCCAACACCAGCAAGAATGAGTGACAAAAAAATAAAAAAAAAATAAAAGAAATAAAGACTGAACGGAACAAAACTCGATTTGTGCTTGAGCCTCCATGGAGAGTAGCTGCACAGTAACTAATCTGTTGTATGTATCTAAAGGATTGCAGCAAGCCAAATGACAAAAGGTCTTGGTACACTTTTTATTCCCGTCTCTTTTGCAGGTGGCAGCCCCACAAACAAAAGCTGACAACAGCAGCTGCTGCTGCCACACTTGACAACAGAGGGGAGGGCCACAGTCATTGATAGACCCATTTCAAAAAGCAAACACTCACACACACTCGCACACTCACACACCTAGAGTCAGGTGCAAATCCTGGCCAATTCAAGAGCCACAACCCCTCCAAATGCCAAACCCACAAGTCGCCAAGCGTCACTCAGTCAATTGCTCATTTAGTGTCAAAGATTTTTCCAAACCGATAACAACACACACACACACACACACACACACATAGGCACAGGCAGCAAAAAGTGCCATCATTTCTTGTCGCTGCACAAAAATCTTGTCAACTTGCTGCGCCTCAGCTTCAGGCACAGCTCCTCAGCTCCAAAATTATGCAGTGTGAAGCGGCGACGACGACGACGACGCCACTTGAGTATAAAAATGATAAAAATCTTACACAAAAACCTACAACAACAACAGCAACAACAGCAACAACTACAAAAACAGCAATCACAATCACAAAAGGCAGTAATCACAGTAGGCAGCAGCAGCAGCAGCAGCAGCAGCAGCAGCAGCAGCAGCAGCAGCAGAGGATGGCAGCCGTGCTGAACTTTAAAAAAATATTTGTGTGTGTGTGTGTTTTGTTGCCGTTTGTATTGCATACGCGAAACCCGTTTGCAATTGCGAGCGAGACGCAGCTAGCTAGCTAACTCATTCACACACATTGAAACAGATTAACTGATAACATTAAAAATTACTTCTTTTTTTTTTTTGGTGGTGGTGCTGCTTAACTGTTTTGTTGCTGCTGCTGATTTTGGCGCTTAATTAATATGCAAAAAACGTTGGCAAGCAAAGAAGCAACGCCAACAACACCAACAACAACAACAATCAGCTAAAGACAATTATATCTGTATACACATATAGATACACAGATATCTATATAATGCCGCAGTCAAAGTAATCACAAGGTCAAACACAATGCGAGCCGTTTTGTTTTTTTGTTGTTTCGTTTTTTTTCTTTTTCTTTTTTGGTTGACGTGCTTCGAAATAATATGCATATAGTATTTAAAAATTATGCAGGTACAATTTATAGCTGACGCTGAGAAATATAGATATAGATATAGAAATATAGATGTATATATATATATATATATATATATAAATGCTCATTCTCGATTCTGTGGTCTCTATCTTGTTTACAGTATGACGATGGCCTGCATGGCTACGGCATGGACTCTGGCGCCGCGGCTGCGGCGATGTATGATCCACATGTCGGCCATCGGCCGCCGGGACTGCAAGGCCTCCCCTCTCACCACTCACCGCACATGACGCACGCCGCGGCAGCGGCCACAGTTGGGATGCACGGCTACCATTCGGGGGCCGGAGCGCATGGTACACCTAGTCATGTATCACCGGTTGCTAATCACCTAATGAGCGCAATACCCGAGGTACACAAACGTGATAAGGATGCGATTTATGAGTAAGTAAACGCCAAATATCTCTACACATACATAAATACTGATATTTATTCCTACTACGAAAAGTCTTTCAAATCAATTGGAGCAGAGAGCACTTTAAGTAGTGCTGTGAATGAACCAGTTTCCTGATAAGCTACGATCATAAAATATGCTGGCTCATTCATAAATTGGATTAAAGTCGATCGAACAAATCGAAGCGATTAGCAAACCCAACTGTTATTCATGCCGATCATGCGACTTTATTGCATAGCGTTTTATAGTCTGATATCTGGCATAAGCTTCATTTAAATCAATCAATAATAATATTCTAGACATCGATTGATTCTACCTTTTCTTTTTTGTTTGAATTCATCCGTTGAATGACAAATTGATTTTGTCCAATTTAATATTTAATTTACCCAAGTTGAAACCTCCTCTTAACTAAGGACCCTATCAATTCTTCGCTGTTGATCAGCAAACACACATATTGAATACCAATTTGTTGTGGCGATCGATCCCTGGGCAGAACCGTCCACCTGTTGCAACATGTTCGCACCTCTCTATACCCAAAAGAGAAGAAAAAGAAGATATTCGAGGCGAGGGAGTAACATAAATTTAACGCACACGCGACTTAATGGTCATGATCCTTGAGCAAAGCCAAAAAAAAAAAATAATAAATAAAAAAATCAAATGGTTTTTTTTTTTATATATACTCATATAATTGGGCGTGACCTTCTGTGTTTTGCGCAAAATACAAAATTATGGGTTTCCTTTTTGGCAACAAAATTTCTTTTTTAATTTGTGCGGCTTCTGCTGTTCTTGTTGTTGTTGTTCTTGTTGTTGTTGTGCGGGGGGTGTGGCGCGTGTTTAGTGGCGGCAACACGGCAACATGGACGTGCTTAGGCATTAGGGAGTCTTCCATTCCAAAATGCACACTGTGTTTATTATGTTATTGTTGCTGCGGCCTGGTGTTAATTTGCCAAAATGCGGTTTCGGTTTGAGTTTGGTTTTTTCTAACCTGATCGTGTCATTCTCTTTTCTTGTTTTTTGTTTTTTTTTGTTTGTGCTGTTTGCGTGTCCTGCACGCAGCAGCTTTTAACAACTGCCAATTTTCATGTGTTGCAACTGGCAGTGACACGAGACAGCTGCTTGAATAATGTTTGTCTTTGGCCTGCATTGTGTTTTTTGCGCATTTTAATAAGCAAATATTTGGTGGTTTTTGTGTGCGCTGCAATTTTATGAATGAGTTGAGTTCTGAGACCGCATATCAATCAGCTGTTGTTGGTTTTATCATCCTCATCCTCCAACCATGTCCGCATCCACGTCTCAAGTGTATGAGCAAACATGGCGCATGACTTCATTAGCACACTTTTTGGCTTTAAGGTTTTGCCACCTGCAAACCGACTGTAAATAAAACTCGAAAATGCGCTTCTTATTTGTACAATTGACACCTTGAAAGCGGCAGCCCAGAGAGACAGACAGACAGACAGAGAGACAGACATACGGACACAAATAATAATAACAATAAGAAATAAAATGTGAAAAAAAAGAGCAGCCGCTTCAATAAAAATGAACATGCGCAGAACTCTCTTAACACCTTCTCGAGTGGAGTGCAGCAACAACAACAACAACAACAACAACAACTTCAGCTGCCTGTCACAAATGCCAAGTCATGGCAAATGAGTGCACACTTTTTTTTTGTAGCTGCTTGAGTCGATCCTGGCCTGGAAATGAAATTGAAAATGGTTGGGGAATGGGAATGGGTATGAAAACTCTGCTGCGCACTCGACTGTAAAAAAGTGCAAGGGCGAGCGAGAGAGAGAGAGAGAGAGAGGGATAAGGAGGAGTTGAGAGGGGGGGTTTCGGGCCATGGTCCGTTTATTAATAGTTGTTAAGCGCAGGGCTACACCCTCACCAAATGAGATATGCATTGGTCAATGGTCAGTTGTGCCATCTAATGGCCAAATGAAGTGCCTGGGCAGGGCACAGCACACAACAAGGAACAACCGCCCCGGTTGTTGGCTCTGTTTCTGGCTCTTTGCCTAATTTTATTCAGGTGCAATTTGTGTTTGGAGCGTGAAGAGCAGTTAACAACAATACAACGAAAACGAGAGAAGCAGAAACTGAAACAGAGAAACAACAACAACAACAACAACAACACCAACAAAAAATGGTCAAATCATGCATAGTTGCTGAACTAATCCGTCAAAATGTGTAGGGTCAGGTCACAAGCGGAGGGATTATATGTAGATGTGGATGGTTGTTTTATTTTTCTCTCTCTTTTTCTTTTCCTTATGCCTTATAATGAAACGAACCAGCTGCTGTTCATTTGCATGGCAGGAAATAGTTAAAAACAGCCAGGCATACACTGACAAAAAACCATTATGTTAAAGTAGTTTTTTGGTTGTCGAAATCAGCTTGCTAAGATATTTAATTTAAGCAGAGCAAATCTTTGTAATAATAAATAAAAAATAATAATTAAAATAGAGATTAAAGAAAGCAACTCTAAATAAAAATAAATAAGAAAATTAATAATAAATAAAATAAAAAGAAATAAACTTAAAAAAAAAACAAATAATAAATTAAAAAGACATAATGAAATAAGGATTATCATGATTAATTAGCGATTAAAATTCATCAACTATAAATTTCGCATAATTAATTTCTTTCTAAATTCTTTTCGTTTTTTTTTCTTTGCAGACATCCGCTATTCCCGCTCTTGGCGCTAATATTCGAGAAATGCGAATTGGCCACATGTACGCCGAGGGAGCCTGGCGTGCAAGGTGGCGATGTTTGTTCGTCGGAATCGTTTAACGAGGATATTGCAATGTTCAGTAAACAGGTAAGTTGTTCAGCAGCATAAGGAAGAGGCTAAGGAAGCAGCAGCAGCAGCGGCAGCGGCATCAGCAACAGATATGATGAGCTATCTGTGCTGCCGTTGCTGCTGCTGCTGTGCTGTTGTTGATTTTGGGGCGTAATTGGAGCTGTGCCACATGTGCCACATGCGGCACATGCAACACATAACAGAAGACAAGGACTGACGAGTCTCGAAATCGCGGCACACGAGTCTAACGAAGCAAGCCGTTAAATGATCGGATTACATAGCACGCCAAGAGTTTCTCTCTCTCTCTCTCTCTCACTCTGTCTCTCTTTCAAGTGGCAACATATGTCACAAATATGCGCTTCCCTTTCTTTGAGAGCTGCCCAAAAGCTGAGCTCATAAAAACCCAATGCGAATATTTCTTGCCACACTGACATTTAAATAATTTACGATGTTTTAACATACAAATTATAATGTTGCAAGTCGTTGGCATTCTCATTCCCTACCTCCCTCTCCCACCCCAGCCCCCCTTGCACATCACATCACATCCTGGTGCAGCACTTCCCCCTTCCTGCTGATGCTTCCCTCTTGCCTGCTGCTATTTTTATGAACGAGATCGCATTAAATACACACAGCACACCAGACGCTTACTCACAGGGCAGAACTTATGGCTCCATCTAGAGATTTTCTTGTCGGCGACATTTTTGGCGTGCCAAAAAAAAAAAAAAAGCAAAAATTAAAAGAGCAAAAACAACAACGACTGCAAAAGACGCCCACTTTTGTTGTTGGCCAGTTGAATTTGGTTCGCAAAATACAACAACAACGAACGAAAAAAATGATGTTTTTATTTATGGTCCATTTGGAATTTTGACAGGCCTGCCATGGGTAATAAAACCAGCAGCAACAGCAACAACAGCATCAACAGCATTCACATTTATCAAGATACGTTTTAGGTCCTTTCCTGGCTAGGTGTTGTTGTTGTTGTTAGCCAAAATGATTTGTTGCCGCTTGTTGCTGTTGTTGTTGTTGTTGCTGTTGTACTTCGGCGCGAGATTTTGATGAACTTTTGTCAAATTGACAATGAAATGCCAATAAAGTTGAAGCAGCTGTCTTGAATAATGTTCTGTTAGCAGTATATATCTAGTTAAAGCCACAGAAGTTAATCCACAAATGTTAATCTTTATATAAATCCATAATACACTTCTAAACTTTTAATTGACTTTTCTGCCCGGCATAAAACATAATTTTTCGTAATCACAATTTGTTAGTTGTCACCTGAACATTTTACTTCGCACTTTGCTCTGTGAATGATCAACCACATCAGCAACCAAATACAGATAGAGCAACAGATGCAGATACAGATGCAGATGCAGATGCAGATACAGATTCAGATACAGACACCATCATCAACTTAGTTGTCGCTTGCATTTCATGTGATTTGATTTGAATTCATTTCGGGTTTTTTTTTCTTTTTTTCTTAGTTGGCTACTAAATTGACGTTGCTGATGCTGCTTGCTTCGGGGTCGTTGTTGTCTGTAGCCGTCTTCTGCTTGGGCTGACAAAAATAACTCAAAAATGTCATTCGCCCATCGAATTTTAACAAACGAGCCGAGCAGAGGCAGAGTGCCAGGGACTGTGGCAGGGGCAGGCAGAGAGACAGAGAGAGAGAGAGGGAGAGAGTGCCAAGACTGCCAAGACATGGGCGCTAAAAATATGTGTGGCGATACTTTTTTAGCTTGCCCCACTGTCGATGCATTTTATATAGAGATAGTTTGCATCTAGATACAGTCAGATATACATATATATATATATATATATATATATATGTATTTATATATATATATATACAGATGTAGAGTCACTTCATTTTGACTAAGCAACTGCGTAAAACGCGCCAACGCCAACGCCACAGATCGACAACGGGAAAGGGAAAGGGGAAGGAAGGGGGAGGGAGAGGGGGAGGGTCGGGAGTGGCGGGGGATAGAATAAAGATCGAGATCTCAACAATTTGAACGGTCGGCGCACTCTTCGTATCGTTTGGCATATATAGTTAGTCGGGCGACTTTTGGTGTTGGCGCTGCTAATGATGCAGCTAAGGAAACGCTTTATAATTTCTCTTTAAAAGCGGCTGAAGAAATACGCAACAAGAAAAATTAAAATACAAAAATATATATGTATATATATATATATATATATATATATATATATATATATATATAAATATTTATATGTATGGACTTTATAAATAAGCAACAAAAGCTGAAGATGTTGTTGCTCCCAAAGCGACAACGCGTTTTATGTCTGCCAGCCTGTTGTTGTAGTTGTTGCTGTTGTTGTAGTTGTTGCTGTTGTTGTAGTTGTTGTTGCTGTTGATTTCTCCCCAAACAGAAATTGCTTAATGTGCTTGCAGCCTTTGTCTCCACACCACAGACTCTTGTTGTATGTGGCCCTCTTCTGTGGCAAAGACAAAGAAATCCCCCCCCGAAATAACGTCAGCCCCATGCTGATTGCCCAAATAATTTTTATGATTTCATTTTAAGTAATTTTTAATGAAAATCAGTCGTCGCAATGGGTTGCAAGTAACTTTTGCCTGCCTGCTCCCCTGCCTGCCTGCCTGCCTGCCAGCCTGCTCTATCTGTCTGTCTTTCAGTCTGTCTCTTTCTCTCTCTGTCTGTTTGTCAACTGACAACTTTTTGGCGTTTTGGCTAATAGTTTGTACATGCGATGAGTTGATTTTTGTTTGGCGTTGACAACACTGCTCCATTGTCTTGTATGCTTGTTCTTGTTCTTGTTCTTGTTTTGGCCGATCATCTGGTTGTTGCTGCTGTTGCTGTTGTTGTTGTTGCTGCAGATTGCAACCATGCGTGCTGCAGCAGTGCCTGCTTCTAAGTAGTTGGCTCCTCTACACACACACACACACACACACACACACACATGCGTACAGAAAGCCGTACTATGTTTGGGGGCTGTCTGTTTTGGCATGATGATTAATGAAGTGCGGGTAAAATGATGATGATGATGCCGTTGCCGTTGCTGTTGCTGTTGCTTTTGCTGCCCGATTGCTGATGATATTTTTTTTCTCTCTTTCTCATTGCTGTTTTCCATATGAACACAACACGAAACGGTTTTTTGTTGTTGCTGAAAGTGGCCTGCCTTGCCGCACTGTCCTTGACATTATACTTATGGCAAAAAGATTGTAGCTACATCTGTCACAACATTGACACAGCCAGAGCCAACTTTCTACTACTATGCTAGACCTATAACTCACTATATGACTCAAGACCAAAAACCATGCCAAGAAAATAGTTGGAAGAAACGCCTCTGGGCCGCTGACTCTGGATTAGCAGGCAGGGCAGGCAAACAGGCAGGTAGCTGGCCAAAAAAAAAAAAATCGAAAACAAAAAACAAAAATACAGAGAAACCCGAACAGGTTAAGCGTTAATACCAATCAATGTCTTGGCCTATGGCTGGGCCAACAACAACAACAACAACAGCAACAGCAACGCTTGTACAAAAGCAATTTAATGTGCCCCGTTCCCGGATTCGCTTTTCCCAACATTCGGTTTTTGTTTTCGTAAATTGCATTTTCTGATTTCGAACGAAACGAAAACCAAAAGAAAGATACACAGATGCACAGAGATTTCTGTTGTTGCTGATGTTGCTGCTGCTGTTGTTGTTGTTGCTGCTGTTGTTGTTGCTGTATAGAGAGGCCATAATCAGGTATGAAAGGTTACGCTTGCGCAGTTGTGTATTGTTGTCGGAGGAGAGCAGGCAGCAGGCAGCAAGCAGCAAGCAGCCTTGCCAGGCAAAAACAAAACGAGCCTTGGAATGCTCATTTCCAGATCTCTGCGGCAATGGAACTGTTCTTCTTGTTGTTGTTGTTGTTCTTGTTGTTTTGTCTGGCATCTCTACGCATTTGCGTGTGCGTCTCCCTCTCTCTCTCTCTCTCACACACGCACACGCTTGCTGCTCGTCTCTCTCTCTCTCTCTCGTTTTGCTGAAAGGAACTTAATCTCCTTTGTGCCACATATATGTATATATATATATATATATATATATTCCATACTGCCTGCAGTCAGCATCGCAGTCGGAGTCGTCTTCACTGCCTTGTTCTGTTTTGTTCTTTTAATGATAAAAAAAAACGAACCTTTGCCTTTTTATTTGGAATTTGGTATTGGTACCTTTTTAATCTCGCCAGCCTGCTCACCTTCTCTCTCCCTATCTCTCTCTCTCTTTCTTTCTCGCTCTGTTATGCGCTATGCGCAGTTATATTATGAAAGCATTGTTCTTTTCTTTTTTTCATTTTGCTCGTGTGCGCAACCCTTAGAGCCAGCGGGTTTTGAATTTCTTGCCAAACAAAAGGCATTTGTTCAACTTGTTAGCCAAAAAAAAAAAAAGAAAGAAAAAAAAGCATTGCAAAAGAAAAACGAAAACTGCGAAATGAGCAGCAATGTTGTTCCCGTTTCAGCTACGGATTTGCGCAGCCGCAACTGTTGCCAGGGTGAGCAGGCAGCCAGCAGCCAGCAGCAACCATGCCCCTTCTCCGCTTTCCCTTTGGCAGGCAAACTGCGCCGCAGCGTGCATTTGCACAGCGTGAATTGATTTGGCACAGCCTGTCTGCGTGCCACACTGCCTGGTTGCCTGGCTGCCTGGCTGCCTGCCTGCCACCAGACACAGCCACCCACCCGGGGCAACAACAACAAGAATATCAACATCAACGTATATATTTACTTTGCCTTACTTACAAGCTTTACAGCTGCAACCGCATTTTTTGATTACACTTGAATTCGTTTTTCTCAACTTTCCAGCGCCGGCCGCGTTTCAAATTTTCGATTTTTCCAATTTTGTTGCTTGTATTCAAATATTTGTTTATGCAACCACTTGGCGCCTTTTAAATGTTATTATTTAGTTTGCTGCTTCTTAAATATAACCTACTGTCTGTCTCTATCTCTCTCTCTCTCTCTCTCTCTCTCTTTCACTCTCGGCATGTTTAGATAGTGCGTGCATTTGACGGGGTCGTT